CCTTTACATGTACAATGTCTTTTACCATTAACGTTATTATTTCTAATATTTGTTCTACCCTTTAATTGCATCTGTATTTAATGAAGGCGTTAATTGCACTTATTTTGTTGTAGAAAAATGATATATGGTTATAAATGATAAATGCATACTTGCCAACTTTTTGATTTTTTTATGGGGTAGAAGCCGTGTGCTCAAAATAAAACATTACAAAATATGAATAATTATAAAAGATGTGTATAAGTCCCCTAGGTAAATAAAAACACTTTAAAGTGTCAAATTGCCAATCGACTTTTTAGTTGTTCTTTCTGTTGAAAGCATTAGGTATCAGAATAATTAAGCAAGTTTTATTACTGGCTGCAAATGGTCAATTCTAGCACGGATTTAGATAGCAATCTAATACCGTGGTCTGACCTATGAGTCGGAAGGTGTTAAGGGGACTTTTCGAAACGTGTGAAATAATCAGTTCTTAAATATAATGAAAAATTGATTAACTGATTACATGTAACGTTTTAGTCAATTTTCAACCACGTGTATAATCCATTCAGATACTTTTGTTTGTTTGTTTGTTTGATTTTGTTTAACGTCCTATTAACAGCTAAGGTCATTTAAGGACGGCCTCCCCTGTGTGCAAGATGCATGCGTGTAGTGTATGTGTGTGTATTTTGGGAGGCTGCGATATGTTCGTGTTTGTCTTCTTGTAATAGCGCGGAACTGATGCCGACTTTATAGTGCTACCTCACTGAAACATACTGCCGAAGACACCCAGCAGGACGCCCCACCCGGTCACATTATACTGACAACGGGCGAACCAGTCGTCCCACTCCTAATTTGCTGAGCGTTAAGCAGGAGTAGAAACTACCATTTTTAAAGACTTTGGTATGTCTCGGCCAGGGGACAGAACCCAAAGCCTTCCTCACAGGGGCGAACGCTCAACAAATGGCCAAAAGTGAGGCATTGTCAAGGGAGACATTAGGAAAAAGAAAGTTATTTAGAAAGGAGAGAAGAGATAAGGTCCCAATTTTAGTCGCCTCTTACGATCATGCAATTGGGGATACGTGGTCACTCATAAACTCTATTTACAGATCATTGATATATCTGGTCACACACTCTATTTATACTATAAACCACTGAGATGCCTGGTCACAATCACTAATTATACTAATAGTTCACTGAGTTACATGTACCTTGAGCCACACTCAGGTATAACTACCCTATATCTGAATAATTGTAGAATTAAATATATTTAAAATGTAAAGATAAATGTATCTTTTACTTCCGACTGTTATTGTAGATCTTCGTAGAAGTGTAATTTTGTAATTGTAATAGCGAAACGTATTGTTCCAATTACTTTGTCCTTGTAAGAGTTATTTCCATTTGTGTATGTGAGTTGTTAATGTATGGTTAGCTTGACAGTGTATTTATGTTTGTTTTATTATTTGTTACATAGTTAAAATTGAAAGGAATAAATATGACGAAATAAACCCTGTCGTCTTGTGATATTTATACAAGAAATACACCACTATTACAATGTCATTTATCTGTCATTGACATCGTTTTGTCCACTTATGTTGATTGTTTTTTGGGAGAATGTGGGATGGAAGTTGAACGTTAATTCGAGCTTTTCATGTGATTTTTATGATAAGTTACAGTCACCACTCGCTTAGTATAGAGCAAGGCTACAAGACAAACTGTTTAATTAAATATAGCAGTGATAAAACGAGTCCATACATGTTTATATCGGGTACTTTCTATACATACGAAGATATCACATGAAAGATCATGCACACGTATCATTCCTTGTTTTAACATGTTAATACTGGTCTGTATGCGTGTAATAGATATGTCAATATAATAATATACATTATAAATTTAATGTCAATAGAATAACAATTATCTCTCCATTTAGCTAGTATCGAAACAACAGGAAATGCGTGTGCAGCTTCATTATTCCTAACGTGTCTTCATTTAAGAAAGTTCAGAATGGACTCCGTTTCCTCTTATCAAAATTTTATCCTATTCCTTTACGAATGGTGAATCGTAATGCAGGACTACATTTATTGGCAATTAGCAGGCTCTTTATTTATTTCACAACAATTATGAAACAAGTTTTTACAACTTATATTAATCACTCTGGTTGGCTCGGAGGTAGCGCGCGGGGGTCTTAATGTGGGAGGAAACCGGAGTACCCGGAGAAAACCCCAGCTGCCGTGGTGAAAGGCATGAGCTATCCACTGCGCCACCCGACCACCCAAGAAGGCTTTCATGGAACACCCAGACGAAAAAGATATACGTGACAAAATTTATAAAATACTGCAGGATGACTCTGTGTAAGATTGCGTGAACTAACACCATGTTCACAATTCAAATAACGGTAACCTGCCTGAGTACATTACAGAAACGTCAAAGGAAATCACGGTAGACGAACCGACAGGACCAGAAATTAAGAATGAAAGATTGGCTAGACTAATCAACGATATGATCAATAAAGGGATGTTGGAGGAACAGATAAAAGAAAACAAGAGATCCCAGAGTGATCTTGGCGCCCACCATTGTACCATCTTCATTAGTTCTTTGTCAGTTCGATCTTTTCTCTTCTGTCTCTAATCTGTTTGATCCAGTCATGCTAACAGTAAATGCACCTTGAGGTACTTTTGATCTAAACTTAACACTGATGTGTATGAAAGACAAACTTCAAAGTGAGTTTGTCAATTCACATATTGACTAGTACAGTACTGAATTTGAAAGAAATATAATCGATCATTGCACTGTTTAGTTCTTCCTTTAGCCATTTTGTTTTTATGATCAGTCTTAAAATATAATATGCACAACGAGGGATTAAGGGGAACCTACATATCAAATTTGAGAAAGATCAAGTTGTACCTGAGACATAGTACTAACAATCCTTCAATGTCGGGCGGACATTTTGTTTATCTGATCAGTTTCAAAATTAAACATGAACAATAAAGGATAGTGGGGAACCTACATATAGAATTTGAGAAAGAATCCTCCAGTACTTCCTGGACAATAGCACTAACAAACCTTAACTGTCAAAATCATTGATTTATTTATTCGATCAGTGTCATTAGAAAATATGCATACATTCATAACAAGGGGAGCCTACATCAAAATGTTAAGAAAGATCTATCTAGTATTTCTGAGTAACAGCCGTAACAAACCGTCACTGTCAAAATCCAAAATGTCTGCCATTTTGTTCATCTGATTAGTCTCAAAAGTTGATATACACAAGGTACGGACCCAGGGGAACCTACATATAAGATGTGAGAAAGATCTATCCACTACTTCCTGAGAAGTAGTTATAAACAAACGTTTAATGTCATAATCCAAGATGGTGGCCTTTCAGCCATTGTGTTTATCTGATCATACAGACCTAGGGAAGCCTACATAACAAATTTGAGAAAGATCCCTCCAGTACTTCCTGATAAACAGCTATAACAAACCTTTAATGTCACAATCCAAGATGGTGACCTGCCGGCCATTTTCTATATCCGATCAGTCTCAAAATTGAATATGCACAACTACAGACCAAGGGAAACCTACATATATAATTAGAGATGGATCTCTTCAGCTCTTCCTGAGAAATAGCGATAATAAAACTTCAATGTCAAAATCCAAGATGGCTGCCAGTCGGCCATGTTATTTATTCGATCAGTCTCAAAAGTTGCCCTGCACAACTTAGGACCAATGGGAACCTACATATAAAATTTGAGAAAGATCCCTTCGGCAATTCCCAAGAAATAGTGATAACAAACGTTCACTATCAAAATCCAAGATGGCTGCCTGTCGGCCATGTTGTTTATCAGATCAGTCTCAAAAGTTGCCCTGCACAATAAAGGACCAAGGGGAACCTACATATAAAATTTAAGAAAGATTCCGCCGGTATTTCTTGAGGAATATCGAATATAACAAGAATTGTTTAAGGACGGACGACGGACGGACGGACCACGGACAACGGACGCAGGGGGATTTGAATAGCCCGCCATCAGATGATGGTGGGCTAAAAAGGGCAGACTATCAAAGGCCGGCTGACTTGAAATTGTTGGCGGCACCGAAATCTAACAAATCTATTTATAGGAGTTTGAATTCTGGAAACCGGACGTAACTCTGCAGCAGCCCAAAACATATTAAGGACACGTTTATTCACTTGCTTTGAAGTATGCGCACGTATTTGTACTAACCAGAATAAAGACGGAATTACAATCAAATTGCAACATTTAGGTAAGTTTCAACAAATTTACTTCTGTATTAAATGTATTGTGTTCTTTTCCTCGTCACATTCTTAACACTTTTATTTGTTTATTTAACGAGTGTAAAAGCAGATAAATACTTCGTCCGTATCGATCTGTATGCATTATTCGGTTAATCCCAATAACACTGTAACAGAGGTCATTTCAATAACGTTGAAGTCCTCCGTTGGGGATCGAACCCTTGACATCATGCTAACTAGTTTGCCGATCTAACGAATTAGATNGAGAAATTGTCCCTAGCTGATCGGTTGAAGCGGCTTGAATTTACACAGGATTACAACTATTTTAAGCCTGTACAAATGTATATTGTGCTATATTACCGTACATGTATTGCCATATTGAATAAGTTATTGATCGATATTTACATATGAACTCGATACTGCCTGAGTAACATACACATTTACAGTATAAAAGGTATCTTATACGCAATCAATGTACGAATAAATCGGGTCAATACACTCAGCCAAAGCGTGGTATAGGGACCAGTAGGCCTTGAAATGTTGCTACACGTTTAATGTGAACACTGTGTACAGAGTAAAACGTTAATATTACATATTTCCAAACTGATGAACATTATTGAAGATATTAAAACTTATAATAAGTTTGATATAGGACAATTAGAAAACCGGACCGAAACTGGAAATGATGCTTATACATGTTACCGGTAACGTGAGCCGTATACAAGTTTGTTTATGACATTAAGTTATTGACCCATGAATGATAAATGTCACTTACCTGTGAATAATGTGACTGCTAGGATGACTATTGAGGTAAACATGACCGTTAAGTTTGAAAGTGTCAATTATCCCGACAACCAGGAAGTTACCCAGCGATAACAGTGTATGTATATGTGCGTATGCAGTAGTCAGATGTTCTATTATTATACACCTTGTGAGTTAGCTTTTATGCATGTGTGTACACTAGTTAAATGCTGTAAATTCACGTCAGATGACCCGTGATATATATAGAACTTAATTAGTGGCATGGCACCACGAGTATTCCAAAGTCTGCTTCTATTGTCTTCGGTTCATTTGTTGTCTAGGCGTAAATAGCGTTGCTTTAGTAACACTCCTAACATTGTTCTCTATTCACATACTATATATCCAGCAATACATTACTGACGTCGTTTATTGTCACTATAATTTTGAACTATAAACAAGTGTTATTTACGTCAAAGAGTTACGTGGTAAAGTATCACTGTGTATCGAGAAACATTTGTCGTAATCTAACTTTCGCCTTTTTCGCCCTCCACAATAAGGGCGAATTTATCCTGACAGCAAATATTAGTACACACCATACAATACATGTATATAGTTAGTTAATGTGAAAGGCGAAATAAAAAATAGGCAAACATGGATTTTATCGACGTGCTAAATATTTCTTCGATGTGATAGTATTTTTGTCTGTTGAAGTCAGTACATGTAGTTATGCCATTGATGAAAAACTGGTTTGGTCATATTTGCCATAAACAGAGATCATATTTCATGTTAGATTGGTTTTGGTTTTTTATTGTTTTACGTCCTATTAACAGCTAAGGTTATTTACGACGTGCCTCCATGTGTTTTGTGTAAGCGTGCTTGTGCGTATGTGTGCCGAAGACAGGGTATGCCGTGTGTTAGGCTACCGTGTTTTCTCCAGTAGTATAAAACTCTTCTCCTTTGACCAGTGGTATATCTCTAGCAATTTTTTTTATCCTGTTAAGTCTATATTTGTGGTATCTCGTAATTGCCAGTGGTGCTGTACACATCCTCGCCTTGGGCCAGTGTCAATATCCTGTTAAGTCTATATTTGTGGTATCTCGTAATTGTCAGTGGTACTGCACACATCCTCGCCTTGGGCCAGTGATTATATTCTGTTAATACTATATTTGTGATATCTCGTAATTGTCAGTGGTGCTGTACACACCTCGCCTAGGGCCAGTATCAATATCCTGTTAATACTAAATTTGTGATATCTCGTAATTGTCAGTGGTGCTGTTCACATCCTCGCCTTGGGCCAGTGTTTATATCCTGTTAAGTCTATATTTGTGGTATCTCGTAATTGTCAGTGGTGCTGCACACATCCTCGCCTTGGGCCAGTGATTATATTCTGTTAATACTATATTTGTGATATCTCGTAATTGTCAGTGGTGCTGTACACACCTCGCCTAGGGCCAGTATCAATATCCTGTTAATACTAAATTTGTGATATCTCGTAATTGTCAGTGGTGCTGTTCACATCCTCGCCTTGGGCCAGTGTTTATATCCTGTTAAGTCTATATTTGTGGTATCTCGTAATTGTCAGTGGTGCTGTACACATCCTCGCCATGGGCAAGTGTCATTATCCTGTTAAGTCTATATTTGTGGTATCTCGTAATTATCAGTGGTGCTGTACACAGCCTCGCCTTGGGCCAGTGTCAATATCCTGTTAAATCTATCTTTGTGGTATCTCGTAATTGTCAGTGGTACTGTACACATGCTCGTCTCTTCTAGAGAATCCGCTGTTTAAAACATAACACAATAAAATCAAACTGTTATTTAGTTAGTTATTTGGTGAAAAAATGTATCTAAACTTTAAATGTTCAAATGTGTTTAAGATATACATCAATTACGAAATGTAATGCTAGTTATTATAAATGAATTTCAACAACGTTTAGCAAACGTTTTAGAGCATTTGTGTTGCCTTAATTTAATAGAACAGCAAATGCAATGATTGACTATGAAAACATCTGAACTAAATAACTTGACAAAGTCGCAGTGTAAGTAACGTTTCCTAACGGAATAATGCAATAAAAAGGTAAAACATATTTACGTGTTAATCCCCTGGTACTCTACACGCTCACGTAAACGTTCTGTTGGTTAAAAATATGTGTTTTGTTATCAAACTGAACCCCTTTCAAATGGCAATTACAAGCAAAACCAAAATAACAATAAAATGACAGTGGTTTTCATATATTAATACACAAGAATATAAATTATGAATATTATCCAAACTTCCGGAAGTATTAACGTGTTCAGGGTTGTTGCTTCTTATGCAGCAACCCTTACAAGTAGGCGTAACCAGTCGTACATGTTTTGTCAATAAATTGATGTAGTTATCTAGGTTTGCTTGCATAACACACAGGGTTGACTTTGAATATCTGAGATTAAATCAGATTTGTTATTATGCATAACCCACCTTAAAATTGATATAAATTTTAGTTTACAAAACATATATTGAAAGCCGTCGTTACCTTTGAATTTTCCTACTTGTAGGTAGAGATAAACAACAGCAAATATAAGGGCGATGGTGATAACGATACATACAACAGCGACCACGATCCAAGGTATGACGTCACCTGCGTAGATAATTAAAACCACATATTTATAAGTCACATTATAGACGTTGGTGCCTTTTTAATTGTATTATGATATATTTTTCACTAAGTAGGAAGACGCTCCCAAACACTGAACGTTTTACTCGATCCTCCCCAACACAGAAAAAAAAAAATTTACAGTTAAAAACAGGACAACATACCTGTGCTTTCCACAGAATCTTGAACAGGTTTCGTTGTTAAATGCACATTTAAATAAAAGTATTCAAAATATTATAAGTATCAGCTTCATAAAACCTCCCGCATAACGAGACAGAAATTTATAAAACATAAACTGAAACACACGGACGTCTTCATACGGACGTTTACTTTTATTTCTTACCGGAGGCCCAGAGGGCCTGTATCGCTCATCTGGATAATAAGTAACCATGGGAAATTTCTCATTAAATATAACAATGCAACTTTTTCCTAGTGGGATGGATTTTAAACAATTAGCCTATTTTCCCCTATTGCAAGAGCTTATTTCGGCGGAACGAATGGCGTTGTAATTTTTTAAGTTAATCTTACTCAGTGATTTGTAAAAACAGCACATATGTAAGTTAAAACCACATATCTATAAGTCATACTATATTTGTTGTCGAATTCGAAGACGTTGGTGCCTTTATCAGTAATTGTATTATTCACGCTTTTTCATGAAATATTTAGGAAGAAGCTCCCAAACACTGAACGTTTTACTCGATCCTCCCCAACACAGAAAAAAACCATTTACAGTTAAAAAGAGGACAACATACCTGTCTGTGCTTTCAACTGAATCTTGAACAGGTTTCGTTGTTTCAGGCACATCAAAATAAAAGTATTCAAAATATTTTAAGTATCAGCTTCATTAAAATTCCCGGATAACGAGACATAAACTTATGAAACATACACTGAAACACACGGACGTCTTCATACGGACATTTTCTTTTATTTCTAACAAGAGGCCCCGAGGGCCTGTATCGCTGCAAAAGCAGGCTCTGCACACAATATGGTTAAAACTAGGGTTGTCAACGGTTAGCCGGTTACTCGGTCGGAAGACAACGAACAGGTAACAAAAATAAATATCCGAAGAGTCGGAAAGGACTAGGGGCGTTAATGGTCATTTCCAGCCGCATCGGGGATTTTAAATTTGTTTGTCACATGCGGAGGTTTTCATTTCTGCATGCTAACTATCCAAACACATCATATTTTTGTGTAGCAACGCGATTTCGTTGCTATGGTTGGGCAACTAAGTATACGCATTGGAATAAATCTGCACCAGGAAAGAAAGCCCCAATAACCAATCTGATGTTTATAAAAGAAATTGGTAAATAAATTCAAGTTAACTTCTTATGAGGCCATAAATGACCAATAACGCCCCAATAAAGTGTATGTATATCACAATACTCCTGTTCATGAAATATGAGAGATGCCATGAAACTTCTTTCTAACAAGAGATACGTGTAGCTCTATCATGCAAACAGGTATTATAAATATTCTTGTATGATAACCTATTAGGCAATGCCCCATATGTTCATGTTCAGTCTTATAAGTTGGTGTTGCTTTTGTTCTATATTGTAAATATTGACAGAGATGCCGCCAACACCATAAACAAGAGGTCAAAGGGCCTTAGCGGTCACCTGAGTCATATTATAGGTACTGGAAATTCAATGTCATTGATGAGATGTGATATTGAAATCAACATGTAAACGAAGTAAAAAACAAAACTTGTCATATCACCAAAGGATAAGAAATTTAAAAAACTATTATAATATATTATTTTGGTAATGTTATTTAGCCAATATTCCCCTTTGGCCAACCCCTAGGATAGGTCAGGATTTTACTTTCTGATTCTATTTGATTTCAATTTCATAATAACTATTCTAATCATGTTTGAGTAATTTCTTGCCGATAATGGACAAGATATAGTCAGAAGTGTTATTTCCCTATATAAACCAGTTAACTTTACCCCCTCCAAAGCAGAGCAGATGACCTGGCGGATACTGAAATTTACAATTTAGATAATGCACCTAAGGACCTTTCTTTCCATGAAGAGTATTTGTTTGTAAAACATCAGAGTCTGATGAATAAGATTTTTATTTTTAAACCATTTCCCCAATTTAGACCCCACCACCCAGCCCCTGGGGATGAAGCAGGATATTATTTTCTCATGCAATCTATTTGCCATCTGGCACCATAATCATTCCAATCAAGATTGACCTGCTCAAAATGGACAAGATATACCCATAAGTGTTATTTCCTTGTATAATCTAAAGTAAACGTTACCACTTACCCAAGCGAAAATGGATGGTCCGGGGGTAATGAAATTGAAAAATAGAAAATGCCCCAGATGGAATTGTCATCCATGCACAGAATTTGATTGTAGTACCTCTGAGTCTGAAGAAGTAGACTTTCTTGCCGAATAATAAAAAAAATCTGTTTAAATCTCAGATATTTAAAGTCAACACTGTGTGTTATGCAAGCAAATCATGATAACTACTTCAATTTACTGACGAAACATGTACGACTTGTTACGCCTACTTGTATGTGTTGCTGTATAAGAAGCAACTACATTGAACACTTAAATAGTTGCGAATGTTTGTAAATATTCATGATTTAAATTATTGTGTATTAATATATTATT